TCATTGGGCCAATGTAGAGGCGAAGAAATATGGTAGGACCAACCTGGGACTGGAGTCCAAAGGTGTTACAACATACTGGATTGGGCAACCTGGTTCTCAGATTAAAGATTTAGACTCCGTACTGGATGCAAAAAGAAAATTTTTACCTTCTCCTAATTTTATTATTATTCACTGTGGAGCTAATGATTTGACAGATTTAGAATTGACAGGGAAGGGTTTAATTGAAAATGAAAAATGTTCTATCCTACGTTACCAGGCTTTATTTAAAAATGTTATTATAATATGGTCTTCAATGCTACAGCGCAGATACTGGCATTTTGCACCCTTGAATGCGGGTGCAATAATCGAACAGAAGAGAAAAAGAGTGAATTCAGTGGTCAAAAACTTTGTAATAGAAAATGGGGGGAAAGCTATTTTACATGAGAACATTAGGGCAAGTGAAGTGTCTTTATACAGAACAGATGGAACTCATGTATCACAAACTGGAAATCAGGTTTTCTTAAATAATATACAAGGAGGGGTTGAGTCTTTCCTACGCACAACAATTTCAACTTTTCCAATGCTTCAATAATGTAAATTTTGTGGAGGTGAGAACCCAAGTCAGATTTGGTAGCTGACTTGGGCTCTCATGTGGCGGTCCAGGGAGACTGGTAGTGATTGGGGGTTATTTCACTCGGCCCTTGCTCTGGGCCTGACAAGTTCTACATTTTGCAGGTTTGGAAAATGTGGTTAGTGGTAACGGTGGGGTCTAGATGGGTAACTCTGGGACCTCCTCCACCTCATCTTATAGAGGGGAGGCCTACACCTGCCAACAGGTGGGGCACTAATAACTGGAGCATTGGTAATACGAGTGTTTTCCCCGGTCACTCCCCATGGTAGGTGGTGGTGTAACCGTGTTTAACTACCAGGGGTTTTATGACACTATGTCAACATAGTTCAGCTGATAGCCATTGTGTATAGGTAATCGGTAGTCACCCTGGCGCCTCAACAAAATATTATAGAATACTCTGTAGCCAAAGTAATGCCACAAAGTAAAAATGTATGTTCTAGTCATGAAAATGTAAATACAAGTTGGTGTAATAAAATGTATGTGTAATTAGAATGATTGTTTTTGTATAAGTTGTAAAAGTTATAAAGGAAAAACAGAGGATGGAACCTTTACACAAATGAGTATAATATACAGAAAGTCTGTAGTATTTTAATTTTGGTATTTGTGAATTACAATTAACAACAGACAAAGAGAGACAACTCTAGAACAATTTTTAATCACTTTGTGATTAAAGGAAGGACTTCAACATAGTTTAGAAAATACGTCAACAACTCTTGATCGTTGTTCTTCATCTCATTGTTATTCGTTCAGTATTAATATAGGGTCTTCTTCTATGAGTATTGCAATTAATAGAGATTATCAAAATTTTATATTTTCAATAATCTGGTTTAATTCAATCAAATATTTGTGTGGGTGTGTGGGTGTTGCAGCCTTTAGCTCATTGCCATATTTGGCATGGTCATAGATGGCGCTCTCAGGTGGAATCTGAATTTTGGAATTCCCGTATCGGGCACTTACTTGTTAATTTGCTGTCGACAACAAAGCAGGTGCTGCAGAAATTAGTTAAATTATTTAAAACCCGCCCACCCTCCCAAATAAGAATAGTTGCTGTTGTTTTTTGTTTTATATTTTCAGGCACTAGTTTGCTGTATTTGGTTGCAATATTATGGTTACCAGTATCCAAGCAGTTCCTCCATGGTATTGGACCAATACAGGATAGTTTGGAGTAAACTTGCGTTTCTTTGATTTGGACATTTCCGTTATTAAGCACTTTTTTTATATATGGACTATTGTGATTTAAGCAACCAGAATGAATTTAAGTTTATATTAATTACCAATTTTATTAATTGGGAAGAAAACAAGACATTTCAAAGAAATTAATTTTCTTCTACTATCCTTAGGCGCAGAGTCAATTTTTAATGGGGGGAGGTCCAGGGAGACTGGTAGTGATTGGGGGATTATTTCACTCGGCCCTTGCTCTGGGCCTGACAAGTTCTACAATTTGCAGGTTTGGAAAATGTGGTTAGTGGTAACGGTGGGGTCTACAGATGGGTAACTCTGGGACCTCCTCCACCTCATCTTATAGAGGGGAGGCCTACACCTGCCAATGAAAATGACCGAATGCCAGAGTATCCTACCACAGAGTACGTAACATCTCAATAAATAATTACTCCACTCCGGAGTAAATCTACGCAGTAAGGAAAATAGCCTGTTGAAACCGTTAATAACGACCTTCATCATACAAATACCGGCGTATTGTAAATTTGATTGTGCAGATTTATCGAGCGTTAGTTAATTTCGGATCTTTTCACGAATATCCTTTAAAGTGTACTGTATACCCACGCTTGCTGTATTACGGAGCTACATGATCGAGAACTATAATTCAAACCTGTTCCTGAAAATACTTCGTGTATATTCCATGAGATTATACACGCGTACCTTGCATTTGTAAAATGAAAAATCCCTTACAAACTTATATCAGTGCGTGTCAACAGTATTTTTTAATTTCTTAGGTACAATTTATCAGATGATTAATATTGTATTAAGGTTTCTGTAATCAAATCAGCAAAAGTTTGCTCTAAATACATGTAGTACTACAGCGATAGTCCAAAAATAAAAGGGTTTTGGTTGGGTTTTTTTTTCCAGATGCAACCATTACTATATTTATTTAACAGGTTTCATTTTCGTTTGAATTTTCAAGTATGGTCTGTTTAGTTCAATCTTTTGGTTAAATTACAATGTATAATTTTCGCATTTACAAACTGCATATGGACAGCAAATTTCTTTCTTATTTACACTTTTTCTTTGTTGTGCCATGCCGTATGAAAAGCGTGAGTGTCAATTTGCCTTTTTGCTTATTATTGCAAACGATAAAAAAATCCTACCTGATTTTTAAGGACATTTTTGCTGCTAACAAAATGCAGACTGACATAACAAAAAATGTTTTTAAGTGAAAAAACGTAGACATTTTTGGTTGACAATTATGTATTTCATTCATTACAATTTTATTAACGTAGAAATTACATCGTGATGCATGTGAATTGGTATCATTACCAGTTTCCTCAAATTTGTTCTTATGGAAAACATATTGAAATAAGGAGATGTGGTATGATTGCCAATGAAACAGCTATCCTCCAGATTACAACTGAAAGGAATGTGATCAACTATAGATCCCTCATCTAAGGTGGATCATCAACTTAAATTTCCTAAGATATAGTTTTCTTTGCTAAAATATAGATTTTACCATGTCCTTTTTTTTTAAATATAATAAAAAGTATGGGTGACCGGGCTAATTTGCAAGCTACAAGTTGTAAAAATTGTAAATTTTTGCATAGATCATTTATGAAAAAAGGTGCAAATTAAATCATCATAGATACCAGACGCGCGTTTCGTTTACAAAAGACTAATCAGTGACGCTCGAATAAAAAAACTAAAAAGGACGAATAAAGTACGAAGTTTAAGGAATTGAAGACCTAAATATGCCGAAAAGTTTTGCCAAATACAGCTTTTTGGTAAAGTAGTCTATTCCTAGGGTATACAAACAGCTTTAAGTTAGTATTTCAAAGGCAGATGTGTATATTTTTCATTGATGAATTAACGGATTGTAAGCTGTGTGGCGATAAAAATTGTGCATTCGCACAAAGACAGCATGTATTTCGGGTAGTACCATGCTTTTTTTTTTTTTTTCGTTGTGGCGTATTCGCCTCCATGTTTATCTTCTATGTACTGCATCCGGCCATCATACTGCGGGTTTTTCCTTTTTAAAATATATTACAATCCAAAGTTGCAAATCTTTGAAGAACAATTTGTCTAACAGTTTTCGTGGAGTTTAAAGAGTGGTTAACTCTGATTTTATAGGATACGGTTTAGAACCGGGAAATGCACATTCAAAACTAACATTTTAGAAGATATTTTGTTCTGAACGAGCCCTAAGAATTCGAAATTGCAAATATATTTTGATCTATTCCCAAAATGACAGAAACACAATGCATAAGAACTAAGAACAGATAACGTTCTGCTGCAGTTTAAACTTATAAAGTAAATTGTAGGGTTCAACTGCTACTTTCATCTCAATATTTTTCCTAAATTTCATGCTTTGTTTAAAAAATCTAATTATGTATAACATTAAATAATATATAACATTATGTATCATTGTCATCAATGTATCTCGTAAAATTATCTTTCCAAAGCATAACTAACTGCTTTAGTTTTGAAATTGCACATACTATCTATTGATATTTTGTCTTTCGTATCATCTGTTTACTTCTCATATTAAAACACACTTATGATTACAGAAGAAAATAAATAAGCATTATGTTAAAAACCCAAAATAAGCAGTGTAAAACCCTGGAAAATGTGCCTCATCACTAATAAAGATGACCCTTTTCAATAAAAATACATTGAATAAAATATAAAAGTTTATATTCGTGAGAAATAAAAAGAAATATGCCAAAAATTAGTCCCATGCCGATATGACAACAGCGTAGCATGATTGTTTAATTCAGGTTTCAAACAAAATGATAAAGGTCGGTTGACGATACTATATTTACTGTAGGATTTCCTGATTGTTATCTTGACTTATTTTTTTTTATTGTTACAAGATACAATGAAAATGTGTTTGTAGAATACAAAACAAATGTGTCTCTCAAATTTCAACCGGAAGAAAACCTTGTCAAACAGTCGACCAAATCCTGTCTGGTTTAGAAAATTCAATTACTTATTATGGTGAACCCAATTCAATATCGATACGTTAAATATGTTTAACCAATAGTTAGTACTATATAAATCCTTGGTTTGACAAATTTAATCATGCTACATGTGTACATGTATATGTATAAATACTCTGACACATTCTTTGTATCAATGTTTTCATTTTATACGACTGCGTATTATATTTTGTTCACCTCAGCTATAAATAACTTACTTTATGTAATTGATACTTTAAATTCACATAGGTGAATATAAATGATAAATACTTCCTCATTGATGTGAAGTCATCCTTTATTGTTGTAGCGTAAAAATATGGAAAAATTTCAAATCCTTGTTTCAGTTATTTTTACTTTGTGGAAATGTGAAGGTAAGAAATATTATGTTTTAATATGACGTCCGTTCCTCAAAGCTGACGTCCAAATCTGTTAAAGATTCGCTTCCATAATATATACCATTTTCTTATTATATGTCACCCTTTGGTAAAAGAGGTGAAATATTGTTATTCCTCGATTTTTTCTTCCACATTTTTTGTCCAGAAATTTGAGTTGACTTGACAGATATTGATGAACCGCACCATATGCAAATGCTCAGCTATGGTTTTGAATGTTCAAGATGGCCTTCGCTATCAAGGAACTACAAACATATGAAAAAACTAAAGGAGTTTCAAATTAAATGAAACTGTGAGGAAATATTAATTGTCATTCGAAAATATGCTATCCATCTTTAGAACTTCACAATAGAATGAGTTTAAAGTGATTTTTTTTTAATTTTCCTTAAAGAAGTTTACTTGATAAGCTTCTCCGCATATTAAGGTTATCAACTCTTAAATTGATTGCAATAAGAATTTTAAAGATTACTGTTGTTAACATTGAAATAGGGCTTAAAGTTTAATATTGAACCATATTGGATAAAACATCAAAGTAACATTTTCTTAGATAATATAAGATCAAACCCTGTAAAATGTTATCAAATGCCATCTGTCATTGAAATTTTCAAAATGATCACCGCTGTTATGGAAACAAAAACAATATGAAAAATTTAAAATGCTCAAAAATACCCCTTAAATTGTATACATTCCACACAACAAAAAAGACACTAAGTACAGATCTGAGAGTCAATATTTATACCAGTAAAAACAATATTCAAAGATATAATTACAGTGTTGAATTGGTAACCTTTTAGAATAAGTTTATTAAAGGGATCGATAAGTTTACCCTTATCGTATCTAAATTCCTGGGATCCGCAAACATCCTGTAAAAATTAGGACGTGCTCTCCCGTAAAATCTGCTTTGTTTATATCTGTAACACTGTAAACATCAATAACAGATCGCAGCAAATTGTATGAATCTGTGTTGCAAAATTACCCAGAATAAATTCCCTCATTAAATGTATTATGCAAGAGTTTAATATCACCTAAGAACACGTGGAATTTGGTTGAAAAGTGTCGCTTTGCATTATATCTCGGAATCTTTTGTTTATTATTTTTGCTCATCTAATGTTATATATGTAATGTCAGAGGTCTATTACTATGACCTAGTAATGGTCTTTAAGTTAAATGCTTATAACACAATCTTCAATACGCATGCTCAGATTTGAATACAAAAATATTGTTCACCGGCTTCAGTATTCTAGTTTTTTTTTTTAATCGTCTTATCAAAGTAGCAAAGGACAGATTTTGTCTATTGTTATGCACTGTACATATACCTGTGCATTTATTTCACGTAAAACTAATATCCAACTGTTTATTGTCCAGTAAAATTCCTCTTAGCTCTTCGAAACTAGTTAAACATTTTAATGGAGGGGGTTAAATGAAACTGTATGCTCTTGGAACTTTCGTATAACATATTCTTATCTCTTTCCATAAAAAGTGCTATTTCATAAAGAACAGATAATATGGCACAGAAATTTTACTTGATATCAAGCATTACAGGCTGCACAGCACCATGACTTTAAAGACAGATTCCTAATTTATATGCACAGTCCATATGGTATATAGACTGAGACACCTGTCTATTGTTGAAGACATTATGTTGACCTTTATTTGTCTGTTGAATCTTTTTATTTTGTCGTTTGGTTTCTATCTCATTGACATTCATGTTACACCTCATTAAATTCCTAACCGTAGTTTTAAAACCTGATAAATTACATCATATAATCGTACACGTGTATATAGCAAATGTAAAGGAAAATACAAGTTCCACAGTTACAGAGACAATTAGCATTTACAATAAAACAATGATAGTGCAATTTTCCTAGCATATGTTCACACTAGAAAACACTTTCTCTCACTAAATAATTCAAAATTTGGTGACTGTGTTGAACGTATCTATCCCATCATACATTGGATAAAGGATACAACAGATACAGTTATGTCTGCCTCATATCTCGACTTACATCTAGAATTTGACCATGAGGGTCGGTTGAAAACAAAACTTTACGACAAAAGAGATGCTTTCAGATTCCAAATTGAACTTTCCATTTCTATGTAGCAACATTCCAGCAGCGCCTGCATACGGAGTATATATCTCCCAGTTGATACGATATTCCAGGGCTTGTATGTCCTATCATGATTTCCTCATTGATATAGAGGGTTGCTGCTCACAAGGAAGCTATTAAACCAAGAGTTCAAAGTGCTGAAGTTGAAATCATCCTTTCGTAAATTTTACGGACGCCATCACGAGTTGGTTGACCGTTATGGAATATCCGTTTCACAGATGATAGCGGATATGTTCCTAATGTCGTAACTACAATCTAGTCCCCTTTTCCCGAATGTGACCTACCGAATTAGACTTATTACCGGGTTTGTACTAACATGAGCAACACGACGGGTGCCAAATGTGGAGCAGTATCAGCAGACCCTTCCGGAGCACCTGGGTTCACCCCCAGTTTTTGGTGGGGTTCGTGTTGCTCAGTCGTCAGTTTTCTATGTGTTTTTATGTAATATTGTTTGTCTGTGGTTTTCCTTTTTTCTTTTTGAACCATGGCGTTGTCTGTTTATTTTTGACTTATGAGTTTCAATGTCCCTTTGGTATCTTTCGCCTCTCTTTTTCTGATCATCTCTAAGGGTTTGCAGCATATCCTTTTTATTGACCTTTGCAATGACAGCAGAAAATCAAAATGCACTAAGTTATATATCAAAAACAAGAAAAGATTTGTGAATGAGTCACACGGAAAAATGACACTCGCTCTCCCAATTTTATGAGATATCCGATAAGTTCAGGAGCCTCCCGCTTTCGATATCTGCATGCAAATACAACTACAATGTAATTATCTTTTGAGTTTTTGTGTCCCGTGAACTAATTCAGTGTCTAAAATCTGTGTTTATCTATCAATAAGTCATCGAACTACTGTATCACTAGCCTGTCAATACTGAGTTTGTGAGTCGAATCTTAATTGACTAGACTGTCAGTTTTCCTACCGGCAATCTGTGAAAAAATGCGTTGCATGTCAGTGAAAAACACGTGTTCTCCGTAAATTGTAAGCACGTAGTATTCCATCAGCCTGGCATTGCAACTTATTAATTGATTTGACCAATGACCCAGGTAAAACAAATTGAATATTATGTAAACAAACAATTATATTGGCGGGAACATTGATAATTAAGTAATAACTATGCTGAATTATGCATACCCGTATAAGGTCGTGTAACCGACCTGTTAAAACTATTGTTGACTTGAAAGCCTGATCATTTTGATATTTAAATTGTCTGGGCTTTTGTTGTTTTGTTTTTTTTGTTGTTTTTTTTTTGGGGGGGGAGGGGTATTTTTATGGGGGATGGGGGGTTATTTGTTTGCTTTTTAACGTCTCTATTTATTTGTTACTTTTTTTAGGGGGTTGCTAACATTATAATTTTCTTTAAAATGTACCTGTGCAAGCATCGACATCTAGATATTTTATTGTACCAATTGTAGTTATTTATTGCTTATTACAAGTTGTCCGTGTTATAAAAGTGACATGATAAAAGTACCCTAAAAATAAAACTATTAATCCTGTAAACAAGTGAGACTGACCTTGAACTAAACAATTGATATACGTTTTAGGAGGATGATTAGAATATAAATTTTCTATTAATTACAACATAACAGTATGCGTAGTATTCTTCAAATTTGTTTATATAATTTATGAAATTCAGATTATTATACATGTATAATATACTGCACTGACTATCCCCTTCTTTACATATTCTGATTTCTGTGACAAGTTGTGAAACGTGACTTAGTTTGTAAACGCTTCCAATATAAATATTTTTTTTAACTGATAAAAAAAAGAGGAAGGGACTGTTTCTTTTTATAAGCTTTTAACTTTTGTTCAAATATGTATAGGTGCACTTGCTAAATATTTGACGTAATGAAGAACAGGGGTGCTATCTAATGTCCATATGAATGATTCCTTATTCAATCCAAATTTCCAAAGGGGACTGGTTCGGTCCAAATTTTCTCAAACCAAACTTTAAGACTTTAAAATATGTATGTGCAGGTTTTTCGTCAAGGTCATGGCATTTGGAGTAAGAGTAGACTGGTTGTCATTGAGTCAAAATAATGTGTCCGGATTTAGAATGACATGTCTTCGTGTAGTCTGTTACCTTTTGGTGTAGTATTCTAAAGAGTATCAATCCGGTAAAAAGGAGGGTATATTCATATTATATTCACATGTTATTGTTAGGAACATGCATGTTACATTTGACCCTGGATGTTAAACAGTCACATTAGTCACATCAATCATTTTGGCACTCTTTTCTTTTATGTGATACGTATTGGATAGACGATGAACAAGTATGTACTATGAAATTTAGAGCGAGGGGCTTGCCCCGAGCACTTAATTTCATTGTAAAAACCTTTTCATAGACTATCCAATTTAGCGCATATTTACAACTCAAGAAATCTTTTAGTTGGTCTATTGATAGTTTATTTTGGCTGACTACTTGTATCACAGGTTTTTGTAAAACGGAGTTCATTAACTAAGTTTTATGTTTTGTAAATTTACACACCAGTATCATAGCTATTCAGAATAAAAAGATGGTACTGCTGGTGTAAGTATGTATATTTATATATAGCGGTGTCTTTCTACAATTACTTTTTTACATGCCTAGATGAAATAATACATTGACCAAAAACAGGAATATATAATTAAATAGGAACTTTTCATGTTTAAAAAAAAATCAATTTCACACTAAAACTAAAACTTGAAAAATATAGATATATGTGCCATAGAAAGTTTTGCGGCTATGCATTAAAAAGCAATTACATGTACCAATAGATCAATTTGAAAGATTATAGTTATTTTTTATCATTTCAAAGTAAAAACAAAAAGGCTTAGCTTTTTCCGAATAAAGATGTAGGTGGCACTTTCCCTTTAGACATTATCATGGTTTTTCAATTTAAGATGAAATGGATCAAGTTCCTGAAAGAAGGTTAAAAAATCATCATCAAGCTGCCTTAATTTCCATTCACAAGGTTTCATAGTACATACTTTTTTGCGACAAAGTAATTGCATGGATGATAAATTACCACAATTATATGATAGCGTTGTACTGTAATCAAGGTATTATGGACCATATTTATTTAGTTATTCTTTATTTAACTGATAGAAACTTGTAACTGTCAAAAAAGATTTTAATATCAAGATATATAAATTTCAATGTGAAAACTAATTACAAACATTTTTTTTTATAATTTGGGATATAGCATTTTGTTCCAAAATAGACAATGGTAAATTTTGTTCTTAATATCTACTTGATTGCGATAAAATGCAATCTTATACCCTTGTGGTCATTCATGCATACATGTAGTTACTTAGTACACAGAACAAGTATGTACTATGAAACTTAGATGGCAAATATAAGCAATTTGATTGGATTAGAAGTTGTAAGTATGTGATAAATTCACTTATCGTTTACTATTTTAATGACTGTGTTTTCAAGCATGTTTACCTAATGAAAAATCAAGACAGTGTTTGTTTCTTTCGTTGCAAATAGTCATCTCTTACAATTTGTAAAGAGATATTTTATATTTATATTTAACAGAGTTAACGATGTTAAATGTAACTTTTCACAACATAAAAGAATCATGGAAAGATGCTGCTAAATTCTGTCTACATAAAGGTGGAGTACTGGAAAGTAATGTCACTTTATTGAGGGAACAAGACGAATTCAAAAACGCAACCGCTTACATGTGGCTTGGCAAATACAGAACATTTACCAATTGGACATATGTTAGAGGTTTGTTTATCTATCAGTATAACCAAATGGAGATGTTCGGTAAACGTCAATGAGACAGCAACACAACAAAACACCGATTTCTATTAATACCAAAAAAGCATTAAGATATGACTTTATTTAAAGGCAACAACTGACCAGGCTCCTGACAAGGGACATGCACATGGACATTTTGAGGGGTTGAACAATTTTTTTTATAAGAACTCAACACTGTCCCTTTAAATTACGATCAGTGGACTAATAATTTCACAACTTAGTGTACTTAATGTAATGCCTACCCATGTTAAAATGAGCAAAATCATCACATGAGAGAAGTATTTCTAAATCGATCAATATGCACGAGAAATGTTTGAAACCACAGTAGAAATAAAAAATGTCCTAGTTTTAGATCTTCTTTGGTGTTCTATAATTCAAAATTCAACAGCAACTTTGAAAGATTTTTAATAGGCCAGATTACATGTTTTTCCTGTCTCCAAAGTATTATGTAAAGGACTGGCAGTAATAGGTATTGAGGGACTCATATATGTCATATTTAATCTAAGTTTATGACGAAACACCAATATACAGCATTGTTTGGTGTAAATTATGTAGACAAAATTGTTGTTCAAAGTTACGATCAATTTACAAGTAAATGCAAGAAAGCGAAAAATGCAGATGATATCTAGACAATGATGATTATGTGTTCGAACATGTCTTTTGTAAATAAAAATTGGGATCACATGTTTATGTATATGCTCCTTTGTTCTGCCGTCGGAATAGTATCATATTTGAGCGAAAATACGAGATAACCTGAAAGGGAGCCAAGAAGTTCTCCGCCGACATTTATCTTCATTGTTGACAATTCGTCTACATTATATAAACATAAGGAGATGTGCTATGATTGCAGATGAATAAATCCACAAGAATTCAAATGACATGGATGAAAGCAATAATATATAGTCAATTGTACGGTCATCAACAATGCGAAAACCCATACCGAATAGTTAGCTTCAAAAGGTCTCGACATGAAAAAATGTGTAACTATATAAGCGAGAAAATCAACGACCTGAATTATGACAAATCAACAAACGAAAAACAAATATGTCACTACTATGGAGTGATTAACTACCTTGACTACACATGAGGGTCTCGCACGGTCGGCAAATATGACAGACAGCGTTCAACAACCACTGAATTACAGGCACCCGACTGTTGACAGGGACATAAAGCATGTGGCGGGGTTAAACATGTTACTGGGTTGTAACAAGTTATTATTGTGCAAGGTGTCGTTTAATTGATAACTCTTTTAAAAGCGTTTGCCAAAAATATATGTTGTTACATTTGGTTGAAGCAAACCAACCATCTACAAACCATACATGTTTCTTCAGTCGGATCCCAAAAAAATTAGAGAAAAAAATATAAACGGCATTCTCAATGGCATTTTTTTTCCTATTTAGACGGACGTTCGATGAAATAATTGCATGTATTTAAAACCAATGTGTCAGTTAATAAATCATAGTTAGGATTTTTCAAGTGATACATTTTCGATGATAACAAATAAATTGTCTCAAATCGTTTAAGTTCAGTCCTTAGTTATGATCAACTTCGATCCAAAAGCTCGTGCTCCGTTAACGTGAATGGATATGCAAAAGTTTGGATATGACAATTTTAGTTCATTGTTAAATGGTACATTCAGTTTTGACCATTTCCGGGATGTGTTATCTTCGACCCTCTGTCACATTGTACCTGAAGATCTTCGAAAGCGCTAGTAAATGTGATAAATTGAAACCATTATTGAAGGGAGCCACATTTGTTTTATTCTGGAAAAATGCAAGATATAATTGTGTGCAAAATTGCAAATACCGTTTCGCAACGCAGATTCGCTGGAAAAAAAAGCATGCTACAGATGAGGATGAATATTCGATCAACAAAAAAATCCTCCTCCCCCTAAATAATTACTTGTATAAACAAATGTCGAGTTTACGAATGAGTTACGCTATTTAACCCGAGGTCAATCAGCGTACATTACGCTAAAACTGCGTCAATGAACAATCGCCTCTTACTGTGACATAATTACATAAACATTGTGACATTGGAACTGTACGGGGAAACGCACGAATTTGAAATTCGTCTATTCATAATTATCTATTTAAAGTGCCTTTCATACTAACGCTCGCTGTATTATCGGACTACATGACCGAGAACTATTATCCAAACCTTGTCCTGGAGATACTCGTTTATATTCCATCAGATTATGTACACGTTCCTTACATTTGTTAAGTGAAACTTTCTAGGCAACCGTATAGCCGTGCGTGTCAGCAATATTTCTTTATTTCTTAGGTACAATGTGTCCAATGAGTAATATAGTATTAATGTTTTTGTATTCAAATCAGGAAAAAGATTGGTCTACATACACGTAGTACTATAGTGGTAGTCCGGATCCAAAATTTTTTTCTTCATTTGCAACCATTATGATATTTATTTAATAAGTTTCATTTTAAATTTAATTTTCAATTTTGTTAAGCTCAAGCCTTAAGTTAGAATCACAATATATGTTTTTTCTGCAAATGGAATGCCTAATTTCTTTTTTCTCTCTTTTTGGTTTTTTTTTTTTTTTCCTTTTTATCGAAAGACGATATTAAATCTGATATCTTTATGCTATGGTATTTTTTTCTTGCAGGGTGTTTTTTAATTAATGGAAACTTCCAACACTTTGAAATTGAACTTTCTAACACTGCGGAGCTGCAATGCCAAATGTTATGTGATAAATACAAATTTTATAGTATCAAGGTAACGTATAATTTGTTCATACTCTCAGTAAAATATATTGATTTACTTTGCTGTCGTAGCGATATTACATTGCGTCAATATGATTGAACCAGACTCTAGCTAGCGACCAATTCCTAGCTAGAGACCACTAAAGATCACAATGAGAATCATCTAGTTAAAGAATCATTTGGTGGTTAGTGTGAAAACCAAACAATTACAGTATCAAACAACTTTCTGTTAAAAAGAAATTCTAGCTACCAAAGCGGTATATACTGTTTCTTAACGTTCAAATGACCAGAGATGTCAGCATTTGAAATAAAAGAGGGACTCAACAACACCAATGATGTCTGCAGCTGAATGCACTGACTAGCTTGCTTGCTAAATCCAGAATATTGATATAAATCGGTAAAGAAATATATAGTAAAATAAAACAAGCCAGCAATTCGAAAATAGTCAAAACATCTTAATAAAGCCTTCGTCAGATGTATGATGAAATTCTGTTCATAAAAAAATAAGGAGATGTGGTATGATTGCCACTGACACAACCATCCATGTATCAAATTCTGTTTATGTCTATTATAACGAAAATCTTTGTTAACGAACCATTTTTATTCTGCTGCATTCAAACACATTCTATATATGATCATACATGTATTTATATAAATGAAAGCGCGCCCTCTCCGAAGACAGACACCATCGGAAAAGGGACACGTTTGGAAAATAACCGTATGTTGACGTCTTCTTTACGTTTTCTGTGTTTTCCAAAGTTTAAACCGAGATTGTTAACTTGTATCAATTATAACAAATAATATAAAAGACGGAGTGTCTATCCACTACGCACATAATGGCTATATAATAGTATGGAACGCCACATCTGTCTTATGTGGTGATCTGATATTATTTTATGTTGTTTTAATATTACTTGATGATATTTTGTCTTTACATAATGATGTTTTGATTTTACGTGATATGGTTTCGTATTGACTTGATATGATTTTTTAATTACTTAAGGTGGCTAGGGCGTCTTAAATAAAATTGATAGAATTTTTTGATAATTTGTCAAAATGAAGTTTTTATCATGCTTTTTTCAAAAATATAATAAAAAGTATGGGTCACCGAACTTTTTTTCACGCTAGAGGTTGTGCAAAATTGTCAGATTTTGTAAAGAATATGCATGGAAAATCAAATTTTGTGTGATAAGAAGAAAACTACTTGATAGAACTTTAAGATAAAATGTGAGAAGATAGCTCTTATAAAATGCTTTCAGATAAGAAAAAGAAAAAATGGGGTCACCGAACTTGTTTTCTTGCTACAGATTAAAATAGGTAAATTCACAACACTTTCTATTATAAAAATTACTTTATCTGAGTTATCTCCCCTTATTTGGCAAAGTTTTAAAAAAATTAATCAAACACAAATAAGGTGTTTTTTTAAGAAATCACAGCCGTAATTATGATAAAACCTACAATTTTCTATATTTACACCAAAAGTCTTACACATAAATTACATACTATTCTCAACATTTGCACATTTCATCAAAGATCTAGACCAATGTTATCTGCTCTTTCAAAATCCAAAATGGAGGAAGACTCCCGAGCCACCTTAATATGGTTTTGTCATAACTCGATGTGATTTCATCATTATTTAATGTGGTTGTGTCTTTAGGCAATGTGGTTTTAATATTACTTGATGTGTATGTGGCTTAACGTTATGTATTTGTTTCATTATATGATGTGGTTTTGTTATTTCGTAATGATGATTTGCCAATTCTTCATATGGCTTTAACATTACATAATGACTAGAAAAAAAAACCCGCGCGAACGCAGGTTGAATACTACTTGAAATGTTTATGGTGATACACAGCTTGGGTTCGTGTTTCTCAAACTGTTTTTATGCACTGGTGCATTATGTTGACAGTTTTGATTAGTTTGTCAGTTCTTCTTCAATAGGAGTTTGAATGTCCAATTAGTAGCTTCTATCTCGGTGTTACACAGGTGCTCCTAGAACGGAGGAAATAACTCAGAGAAGAAGAAGACAACCTAGAACACCGATGATTTAAACATTTCTTAGTGGTGCTAGTTTGTAGTATTTCTTTTTTTTTTCGAAAGGTGCGAGTCAAGTTTTGTCTCTGTGTGATACGGGTGCTCCAAGAACGGAGGAAATAACTAATAGAAGACAATTAAGAACTCTCTGATGATTTAAAACATTTCTTCAGTGGTGCGAGTTTGTAGTATATTTTTTTTTGAGTGGTGCGAGTTCTGTGTGACACGGGTGCTCCGAGAAAGGATGAATTTACTAAGAGAAGAAGAAAACAATCTAATGATAAAACACATTTCTTCGAGTTGCTAAAAAAAAAACCCGCGGGAGCACGGCTTGAAGACTACTTGAAATGTTTATGGTGATAGACAGCTTGGGTTCGTGTTTCTCAAACTGTTTTTTGTGCACTGATGCATTATGTTGACAGTTTTGATTAGTTTGTAAGTTCTTCTTCCATAGGAGTTTGAATGACCAATTAGTAGCTTCTGTCTCGGTGTTACACAGGTGCTCCTAGAACGGAGGAAATAACTCAGAGAAGAAGAGGACAACCTACAACACTGGTGATTTAAAACATTTCTTCAGTGGTGCGAGTTTGTAGTATTTTTTTTTTTCGAGTGGTGCGAGTTCTGTGTGACACGGGTGCTCCGAGAAATGATGAATTTACTAAGAGAAGAAGAAAACAATCTAATGATAAAACACATTTCTTCGAGTTGCTTAAAAAAACCCGCGCTAGCACGGCTTAAAGACTACTTGAAATGTTTACGGTGATACACAGCTTGGGTTCGTGTTTCTCAAACTGTTTTTATGCACTGATGCATTATGTTGATAGTTTTGATTAGTTTGAAAGTTCTTCTTCCATAGGAGTTTGAATGTCCAATTAGTACCTTCTGTTCCGGTGTTACACAGGTGCTCCTAGAACGGAGGAAATAACTCAGAGAAGAAGAGGACAACCTAGAACACTGATGATTAAAACATGTCTCAGTGGTGCTAGTTTGCAGTATTTCTTTCATTTTTTTTTTTCGAAAGGTGCGAGTCAAGTTCTGTCTCTGTGATACGGGTGCTCAGATAACGGAGGAAATAACTAAGAGAAGACAATCTAGAACTCTCTGATGATTTAAAACATTTCTTCAGTGGTGCGAGTTTGTAGTATTTTTTTTTTTTTTCGAGTGGTGCGAGTTCTGTCTCTGTGTGACACGGGTGCTCCGAGAAAGGAGGAATTTACGAAGAGAAGAAGAAAACAATCTAATGATTAAACACATTTTTTCGAGTTTGTTATATTTCTTTTTTTTTTTTTTTTGAATGGTGCGAGTTTGATTAAATGCAAGTTGTAATAATTAGTTAAAGTGTTGGAGTTGGGCGAATTGGCGGTGGGCCGAGTTGTCATAAATTCATGACAAATTGAATACAAAGCCATTTCCGCCTGCTTACAAAACGTAGACGGTAAGGAACCAGCTACAGAACTTTATTTGGGGTTTAATTAATTAAGCTACGCTAATTAAAGCAATTACTATATGAAGTTATAAAGTACATTACATACACTAACTATTTATTATTATATAATACTTCAGACGATCGTGGGCTCGGAGACAAACCGGCTAAAAAATTTTGGTCTCCAAATTTAATAGTATAGATTGTTCAAAATTTGACGATTTTACACAACACGATGTGTTTGTTTCTGTATTTGATGTGGTCCTGTCATTCTTTGATGTGGTTATCACATTACTTGATGAGGTAAAGCCACGTGACCATTTTGGAAAGAAATAGTTCTATTTTTAGACCAATTTCCATATGTCGTTTGTTTAATGTGCTTCGGATGAGTGTCGCTATCCATTGAGTTAAAGTTCAAATTAAAGTTCGAGTTGTTGTTCAGAATTATTTGGTATGTAAAAGTGGAACGGCAGACAAAAATAAGAAAAAAAGTACAAAAAAATATCAATATTTCGGACATAAGGGGGATATCCCCAAACCACTTGGTCCTGCCGTTTTTTTCCCTTATTTCGCAAATGAAAGCAGTATTACAATAAATTCGTGAAGAATTCCACGGAACCCTGTGTCTCGCCTGAGATTGCTGCTGTCATTGTAAAAGTGTAATGTTGACTGTAAAACGTCCATTTATCGGTAGAAAACAACATTCAAAAAATTGTTTTTCTGTATATGCTCTATCTCGATATAGAAGATTAACTCCTATACAAGTTTTATAACAATTCATGGAGGTTTACAATTTTATCATGACAAAATAGTTTAATTTTGATATATTTAATGCAAATAAAACTGATATAAAAATAAAAAGATGTGGTTTGATTGCCAATGAGACAACTCTCCACCACATACCAAATGACGTACATGTAGCAGTTAATAACTATATGTCACTGTATGGTCTTCAACAATGAGCAAAATCCATACCGCATAGTAAGCTATAACAGGTCCAGAAATGACAAATGTAAAAACAATTCAAACGAGTAACCTAACGATCTAAATGATGAAGACGCCGACGACGGAATATAGGTTTTTTGTGTCTCACTTCAGCGACATTAATATCGCAGGCTGGACACACATCAAATGACTTGTACTTTATTGTCAACAAATGAGACACTTTCAATCAACTCACACTAAAGTTACAGGTAAATGGGGGGATCGGACTAAGCGACAAAGCATCAATTCTATAAAATAAGAATTATCCGATTCTTTTTAGCGTGTATTATGTAATAGAATAAGTCCAAATAACTGTCCATTCCTGGGAAATAATGGAGCGGAGGCCCGTAGGGCCAATGCCCATTATTCCCAGGAATGGACAGTTATTTGGACTTTCGCTAACTTGAAATACACTTTAAATATTAAAAACGAATCTTCAGATTATAACATTTCATAGAACTTTATTTAAATTTTGTTATGGTTTTCTTTTCATTTTCTCCGTGTTGTACCAAATAATCCGCAGGCTAAATTTAAGATCAAGCTGACCATCTACTCACTTAACGAAGTATTTA